TGAGGTCAAGCATGACCAAATATCTTCATGGTGTCCGGGCCCCTGCGTAACTCGATTGGGTCCCCTTACAGATAATCTGAGCCTCGTAAGACCTACACATTGGGGCTAGTTTATGGTGGGCCTGGATTGACTCTTTAATTAGAAGCGAACTAAAAAATTAGAAATTTAAAAAGATTTGGTGATATTTTTTCTTAACATAATAACATATGTAGCAGTATGTACCAACCCCCTTATTTGTCCAGTTAAATATCTAATAATAACATATGTAACATACAGTGTTTGATGAGGAATGGGAGGATCACACTGATTATTGTCCATTAACCTTTTTCTGCTATTTGCTATTCCCTGGCATCTCATCATTAAATGCCAATATTTTGCAGTATCTATTTGCTTTAGTAAAGATCAGCTACTAACATAGGGTAGCGTCTTTTGTTTGTGGAACTTTCACCAAATATTTGCTCGTTCAATTCGGTTCACAGGACAGCTGTGTGATGAGACCTCCCCATGGACAAACCATCAAGTTGGCAATGGTTAACCTACTCAGTGCCAGTGGGGTGAGCAACACATTGATTTTTTCAACCCTCTGGCAATGAGAACCTTAAAAGCAACACAAGGATTGCCAAGATAACTGTGGTCCAGTGTGAGGATGCAGACCTTTGGGCATCCATTGGTTTAGATAACTATTCACAGCTTCCTCGGTTTCTAATGCTGAGCGTAGCCACATAGAGGGATAAGGCAGGGAAAGCTTCAATAGACATGGCATAGATCCCGTTCTCCTTGATAATAAACATTGTTCTTCATCTTGTCTTTTTAACGATGCTGGTGTACAAGATCTCTTATGAAATTCTCATGAGGTAGCATCTTATCTTTTGGAGTCTTCCAGATATTTATTCATCCTATCAATCAATATCATTAACATTGAATTAAACAAAAAAATATAATTTCTTCTCTTAATATGCTTTCTAAACAGCATTTTTCATTTGAAAAAAAATATTTTGAGATTGTTGGAATTATGGGCATGAAAGTTGTGAGCTGTGCCCTGGTTAATTTCCAACTCTGGTATGATATATTATTTTAAATGGATTGGAATTATTAAAGTCCAGTTTTAAAGAAACACATATGAGTGCTGACGTTTGCCTAGACCTACTAACACAGCCCTTGTTTAACTCCTGTTTCCATGACCTTCTTACCTGCTCTCGTTATTCGTCCAAGTCCTTTACTTTCACCAGGACAGAATAACTTCCTTGCTCTCCTCGTTTTACACTTTGCATAAACTCATGGAGGCGCATGCACTACAAAAACCTTTTAGACCCTTGACATAGTTTGTCCCCCTTTGTGACCTCATCTGAGAGTCTTGTCAATACAACTCACCGAAGCTTGATCCCACTATTTGACACTACGCTACAGTTTACCAATCACTCTGTTCTTCCATGTGTTGTAATATCAATCGCATCTAATTACAAGTGATTCAAATGTTTTATGATTACATAATGATGAATGTAGTCTTCGCTGATTGCATAATGTTTTGTGAAACTACTTGATTTTTGTAAGTATTAATTGTTGTGTATAATTATATAAATAACAAAGTGGTACAAGTAAAACCCACCCAGCCAGTAACAAGCTGCTTGTTATTTTTAAATGATGAATGTGCATTTCGACACAACTTAGACACAACTTTGCACACATCAATGAGCAAAAAATATATGTATATATTGTGTAAGCACCATTGCTAGCGAAGTATGGATTTTCTAAAATAAATGAATAAACAAATAAATCTATTTAATATTATGACTCCTTGTTCTGCTAATTACAGACTCATTGGTCTGTTTATCAAACTATTTGAGGGAGGGAACTGCAGGAGAACCCTCCTACTCTCATTCACAGCAAATACAGTGTCTGCTCTCTGTCACAGCAACTACAGTGTATGCGGCTCTCACACTTGTCGGCGGGATACAGAATTAGAGTGACAGATGTCACTCTGTTCTTACACTGATGTGCAGAAAATGAAGTCAGAGTATCAGCCTTATGGAACAGTACTGCCTGGCTTGGAGGGAATTATTTCAGTAAGGTCAACTATGCAAGGAGTTGTGGTTGGGGGAGGGTGGATGGATGTTATCAGGAGTGCAGATGTACCCAAAAGATAGATACCCAGATATTGTAGAAATCCAAATTTGCCAGTCTTTAGAATAGCAGAGCAACATGGACGTTGCAGTTCCAAAAATCTGCGGATTTACCTTAAGAACCCCTTTATTAGTGCCATACAGTGGGGAGGGTTAGATCAGCATTGTCAGCCCTAAAATACATTAAAATGCAATAGCACATTAAAACTACAATAAATAGCCGTAACACTTTGAGCACACCTGATCTCTGCAGCTAAGCAGAGTCAGGCCTGGCTAGTACTTGGATGGGAGACCATCTGGAAATACAGGTGTTGTAAACCTTGAAACACATTACAAACCCCTAGCTGTCCTTCCTGCCTCCTCTAGACTGTAAGCTTGTTTGAGCAAGGTCCTCATCAACCTATCGTTCCTGTAACATTTTGTAATTGTCTCATTTGTTGTTAAATTTCCCCCTTTTATATTATTGTAAAGCGTTGCGCAACAAGTCAGCCGTATATAAATGCCAAAAATATTTAATAATATAAAGCATTCATAAGGGCGCTTTAAAGATTGAACTAGATGGACTTAAGACTTTTTTCACTTGAAATGGAAATGTTATAATGTTACGAAGTTACTCCAGTGTCGAAGCAATGCAAACATTGTTCATCTGAACTTCAGATAATCTCGATCATAAATGTTTTACAAATGAACCCTTAACTATGTCTGACAGTAAATAAGGTCATAAGTCAAGGAAAAAAGAGATAATTTGTGCGAGAAGAAAAACAAACAGGGGATGCTGTAAATATTCTGTTTTTCTTTTTTATTCTCCTAAAGGTAAACGGAAAAGGATGGTCTGTTTTATTGTTTATGGCTCTCGCTTGTAAGGATGTTTTGTGGTTTTTTTTGGTGAGAGTTGGGTGTGAATTTACATTTTCAGTTTATGGGAAAGTTTTTTTTTATCTCTTCAGCAAATGGATTTTCTTTTTGTCAATCAATTTTTATTGTAATGGTACGGTAGCATATAAGAATCGACAGATAGCTCCAGTATACGGCAAGATATTAAAGCAAGTAATAGACATTTCTATGATATAAGCCAAACTGGTAGATGAAAAGATCCTATTTTATAATAGGTAAGAGATATTAAAAAGCATGGATAAATAATATAACAAGTACACCCACTAAAGGGAGACACGAATAGCTCTATCCTGCCTAGGACAAATTACAATATCTCTTAAATCTGATATAAACACAACATAAAGGAAAACAAACCCTCACAACATAAAGGCTCCTCAGCCCACTCCGACCCCAAAGCAATCTCCTTAAACAAACACAAAGATAAAGCACCGCGCTTACAGCAGCAGTGGCTTAGTATCCAACAGCTCAAAATACATAGTAAAAATAAAGAGAAAGTTACCTGCGCTCTGGCCCAAATCCCTATGTACATTTAAACAAAATGGAGGCAGGTAACTTTCTCTTTGTAATCTCCGTAAACAACCTATTCCCAGAGTAGGGATAAAGCTCACGTAAGTAAAGTTTGACACTTCTCTCAATCTATCCTAGGCCACCAGTGAAACCTACATGCCGTGCCCACTGATCCGGTCCCTACTGGATCAGTGTCCCAAGAGAACCTCGCAAGATACTTCCGATAGCGGTGATTGGAGACCCTCTGAGAGTGTGAGCTGCATTTGGGGAACAAGTCCCTTAAATGCACACTATAGTTACCAGAACAACTACAGCTCACTGAATTTGTTTTGGTGAATAGAATCATTACCTTCAGGCGTTTTGCTGTAAACTCTGTCTTTTCAGAGAAAATGCAGTGTTTACATTATAGCCTAGTGATAACTTCACTGGCCACTCCTCAGATAGCTACTAGAGGTGCTTCCTGGGGCAGTGCTGCACAGTGTGACTGACATTTAGTGTCTCCACCCTCTGCATGCAGACACTGAACTTTCCTCATAGAGATGCATTGATTCAATGCATTTCTATAACGAGATGCTTATTAGCCAGGGCTGTGTTTGGCTTGTGCTGGCTCTGCTCCTGATCTGGCTCCTTGACATTGTCAGCCAATCCAATGCTTTCCTATGCGAAAGCATTGTGATTGGCTCAGATCACCACTTCTGATTATGTCAGCCAAGCAGACAGATCAGGGGCAGAGCCAGCAGCAGCAAACCTGAGTAAAGGTAAGATTTCACTATGTTTAGGGGGGCTAGATTGTGTTATTAACACTGTAAGGTCAGAAATACATGTTTGTCATAGGCGTGCGCAGCCTATTGCATTAGGGTGTGCACCCTAAAGCACAAACACACGCCACGTGCGTGTGTGTGTATCTATCTATCTATATATATATATATACACACACTGCTGTGTGTGCTGTTAGTGTGATGTGTGTGTGAGGGTGCGTGTTTGTGACTGTGCTGTTTGTGTGTGAGGGTGTTTGTGTGTGTATGTTTGTCCTGTGAGGGTGCTGTTAGTGTGCTGTGTGTGAGGGTGTTGTGTTTTTTTTAAAGGTGCTGTGTGTGTTTGTGAGGGTGCGGTTAGTGTACTGTGTGTGTGTGAGCTGTATGTGTGTAGGTGCTGTATGTGTGTGTGCTGTATGTTTGGAGGGATTTGGCAGATTAGTAAATCCTTGCTGCCATGTGCCATCCCTGGTGGTCCAGTGGAGAGTGAACTCTAGCCTGCGGGGCTAGAGTTAACTCTCGCGAGATCTGAGCGTTGCCGCAGCAATGCTCAGATATCGCGAGAGGAACCTGGCGGAGCTTCTGTCTAGAGCTGCCTGGGTCCTCTACTGCCTCCCTCCATGCTGCTGTGGGCCGGTGAGGTAGATCTCCCTGCCGGCCCATGAAGGCTTAGAGCAGAGCCGGCACTCAGATAGCGCCGGTTCTGCGTGTGTGTGTGTGTGTATATGTATATATATATATACGTACACACACACACACACACACACACTCACAGACACACATACACTCACAGACACACACTCACACACACATACTCACAGACACACACTCACACTCACACACACACATACTCACAGGCACACACACACACTCACACACACTGACACACACATACTCACAGACACACACACTGACACACACACATACTCACAGACACACACACATACTCAGACACACACACATACTCAGACACACACATACTCAGACACACACACTCACAGACACACACACACACACACACACTGATACACACTCACACACTGACACACACACAAATTATTATATTTTAATTTTAAAAAAAAATGTCCACCCAGCCTCCTACCTGGAGTGCTGGTGGACTTTTCCCTGGGGTCGGGCACCTCTCTGCAGCTCAGCCGCGGCGAGGGAGCTCTCTGCTGTCTGCTCTCTGCTCCCTCTCGCCGCACGCTGATGCAGGGAGCCGGAATATGACGTCATATTCCGGCTCCCAGCTCCAGCAGACAGCCCGCGGCGAGAGGGAGCAGAGAACAGACAGCAGAGAGCTCCCTCGCCGCGCGCTGAACGGGGGGGGAGGGGGGAATCCATCACCTCTTGCCCTCCCCATGACAGGGGCAAGAGGTGAAACAGGGGGCACTGAGTGCCTGCAGGAACAGCATTCCTGCTCAAAAAAAGTGCAGGAACGCTGTTCCTGCAGGACTCAAACCATAGGCGTGCCACGGGGATTAGGGTGTGCACGCCTATGATGTTTGTGTTCCTAACCCTATAGTGTTCCTTTAAGGCTTCCGACCAAGGAAACTGTAGAGGTTCATTCCCAGGACCTGAAGAAGAGAAGGCAGCATGGCATCTAGTTTACCATGAGAGCCCGTTGTTTGAGTTTCACCTAGAAGTGGTCACAGAGCTGGTTAAATGCCTGGACAAGCGTATTCAACCGAAAATAGCATTGGACAATTACCTTCTTATATGTATAGAATCACGACCCTTGTAGACTGGACACGGGAGACAGGACATTCTACCAACTGGAAAGAATTGGTAGTCCATACTCATCTTAAGAAACTGGCATCACTATAACTAAATATTAATTCCTTGAATTTATTACCAATATTTTGCCAGTCATCGTGTTTAATTAACAAGTATTGTAATAAACCTTCAGTTTTATCATAACTTCTGGCAGCTTCACACATATTTATAACCTACATCATGACCCTTGCCATCTAAGCCTAAACAAACACCTAGTGGCCTCAGAGTTCACTTCCATGGAAGGTTCAAATTAGTTAGCAAACTTAACAAATATATGTTCCGGAACTCTATTAGCTAGTTAAGAACAAATCAGAAGTTCCAAATGTCATTATGCGTAGAACATTAACTCTGAATGAATACTTAGTTCTTAGCTGCAGTCTTCCTGTGGTCAAAATTACTTAACAAGCATTTTGATTAGTGGCCTAAACCATATCTATAGCGGGATGGCACACCTCTTAGGGAGACTGCCCACTAGGATCCGTCCCCAAGAACTTAGAATGCTAAAATACATAGGGAAGCTAGAAACAAGTGAAGGCTATGACCAAATAATTAACAATTAGGAAAAACAAAAATACAAAAACACATAACTTTTAAAGCCTTCCCCTATAGGTTAGACTCTGTTAGAGTGATCCTGTAGAAATATAGGCGTTTGAAACTGAAATGAAGACATATGATTCTTAGGACTTACTGCTTGCATGAGAGGGATGTGTGACCAAAACCCTTTAGACAACCTTATTGCATCATTTACTGATCCAGACAAAAAAAAAATCACCATGTTGAATATGAACAGAATGCAAGGAGCAACTTCCATGATGTGCCAATAGAATGCTACACATAGAGAAGTATTGAATCTAGTGCTTCTCCAGGAAAAGCCTCCATCTTCGTTTGGAGTGAGAGCTCAAAGCAAGTGAGGAAGAACATTGGGTTCAAATTAGAACATTTATAAAAGCACTGACTTGTCTTACAATCAGCAATATGAAAATAGGACAAAGAGGATGCTGTGTTAACTGTGTTTGGAGTGTTCCTTTAAGCTACCTCTCCTTTTGAAGAAGCTGATGTGGTTCTATCACCGTTAGATAGAAAATTAAATTGTCCTGAACTAAGTTCAGGCCAAAGAGCTCAACACTGCGGAGATAACATAATTACTTAAATTATAAAAAAAAATGTTTTAATACAAATGAGTCACTTTTAAGCTTATTCTTTTGTCTGGTTCCAGCTGTTTGGTCTAGGTTCCGTAGCCCAGGTGGTTCTTGGAAAGAAAGAATTTGGACAATATTTGAGCATTAACCTATCCTTTGGATTTGGGGTCACAATGGGAATCCATGTTGCTGGAGGGGTGTCTGGTGAGTATTTCTGACAATTGATGATGCATTTTTTTATGCTGTATAGGTGACACACTGTATGCATATCTGGGATTGACATGTTTATAGATACTAAATTAGAGAGCTGTTTAGCTTCATTATTTGGTAATAGGTATCCTTATGGCAACCCCATGTAAGGACAACAAATTAGGGAGTCATCTGCTAAACAGCTGAAAGACCAAAATTAAGAAAAGGACTTTTCTTAATTTTGATAATTCGGCCATTTAGCAGATAACTCCCTAAAATGGTACTTTACTTGTTAACTCTGTGACTGTCACCTTCATTCATTACTCATGAGTAATAACAGGCTTCCGAAATTCCAAAATTAACAAATTTATGAACTGAAATTCGGTTCATCCACAGCACCATTTTCCAAAATTCAGAAAACACAAAATTTAAAGAAAAAAAAATAGATTGATCCGAAACAATCAGAAACAACTTTTTCCCTGTGCATACGTCTAGTAAGAAAATTAAGTTTTTTCAATTTTATTACTTTGGTCCAAAATGATAAATTTCCTTTTCAGTTCTTAACAATTCCAGTTTAGTGAAAATGCCAATAAAGTTGTTGTCAAGAATCAATGTCAATATCCGTCCGTCCATCTATCCATCTCTCTCTCTCTCTCTCTATTTATCTTTAAACAAGGTGGAATGACCAGAGGTAGTTTCCTACAGGTCCATACCCACCATATGTTTTGCACACAGCAAGGTTTTGTCAGTTTTGCAGTTTTGACAATCTGTGTACCAGTTTCAGAACTGTACAGCGGAGATATCCAACATGGGGATACCGTGCATGGTAATGATACAGGTCTAAAGACAATGAAATGAAAGGCCAGGGTGGTAAAATTAAAAGAGTTTATAAGGAGAATGAGCCAACATCATAGAAAAATGAGCTGATAAAATTAATGACTTAGAGCTTCTGCAATATTGGTTTGAGGAGGAATACAAATATAAATAGTGTTCTATGCCATCTCCAGTTTCCAAAACAGAGCTGGAAATATGGTGGACAGACCCTCCTGATTTAAAAGAAATGTACTGCTTAACCAACTGTGGCTTACATTTTTTGTTGTTTAATTTTGTAATTTTGTAATCCCTAATATCAAGTTAACTAAACTATAGAACCCCGGGGAAAGGGGAAATGTCACTATCTGGTAATTTTAATATTATATATATTTTTGTTTTTTGCTGTGTATATGAAAATACAACATGCATGGGGTACCCCAAAGGCAATCCTCATGCTTTAGTTTTAAAACAGTTATAACAGTGGGGGGTGTGATGATACATGCACATTTTTATGGTGAGTATATAATATTATTCATGTTGTATGCAGCTTAGTGTTAAATAGAGTAGAATAGTGATAATCAGACGTTAAGCTCAAACTGGCTGGGCGTCAGCATAAACAATAATATTACATCTAAAGCCAAAGCTACAGTGAGAGGTTATTCTCTCCATGAGCGTGTGTATGCTATACTTTACGCAAGGTAACAGTATCCACACTAGAGTTGTCAGAGTCCATGCCGTTGATGGGCTTCAGGAGATGGGCTGGTGAGTGTGTGCTTAGCCGTCCTCAGCCAATGCCTCTTGCATGCCGCCGTGGAGAGTCTGGTTCCCGGTCAGCTTTAGCAGTGCGCCTCTCCGATGTGCGGGAGGGTGGTTTGCCCTGCTCGTGGTGCAGGCGCTGTGTGTAGCGTGACAGGTCCCTGTCCCTTCGGCTCTGGGCTGTTAAGGGAGCTGGAGCCCTCTGTCCATGGATCCTCCTCCGTCGTGAGGCAGGATCGTGGGTCCCCGGGGTTTCCGGCTTGCGGTCATCCCTGCGGGTAGTTGGACTGTGGCCTGGAGATTCCTCCAGTTGGGCTCCCGGCCCAGAAGATGGACAGGAGTCCGCTGCTGGTTTGCAGGTAGGTCCCATCTTGGGAGGGGTAGGCAGGGGTTCACATTGGGCAATGCGGTCCAGAAGGCTTGACAGTGTCAAATCTGGCTTCGAAGGCCTCCCTCCAGCTTTGGTCTGTCTGGCTTGCTGGGCTAGGCTGTGATTGCGATGCGGCGGCTATCTTGAGGTGCCGCGTGGCTCACCAAGTTTTCCTGCAACGGCCTCTTGGCTTTAGCTTTGTGTGTTTCGGGCGGCCTGTGTGGACCGGGATATCCCCCACCGGTCCAGAGGGGGGGAGGGAGGAATTGGGAGGTTAGAGCGGTTTGTGAGCCTGTTCTCTAGCGAGGACTAAAAGGACAAATCTATGCCTGTATATGGGTATCATTACTGAAAGCATTCTGATCTACACCCAGCAGTCAGCATTGAGAAAGCATACAGAGAAGAGGAGAAATGAAACAATGTTACTATTTCACCTCTTTGTGTGCACTGTTTTCTCTGGTTTTGATTTGTGTGAACTAGATTATGATTTTTGCTGAACTTTTAATATAAATGTAAAAGAAAGCAGAGCATTATGTTTAAAAAAGACTTACAAAAGTTTGGATGATTTTATACAATTGTTTAAATAGCTCCCCTTTGAGTCACCTAGACTTTGAGGATGGAGAATTTCCTTCTAATATGTATAGAATCACGACCTTGTAGAGTGTAAACAGGAGACAGGATATTCTACCAACTGGATAGAATTGGTAGTCAGTACTTATCTATACAAAACTTG